TACATCAATCTCCGGAATTACCGATATATTCAGCATTCTAGCATTTGTTTTCTTCGATCAACAGCTTGTTTTATAGAAGGACTGATTTGAAATTGTGTACTTCATTTATAAAGTTTCAGTAATTATGTTCAGCATGTTTGACATTTTTTTTTTTTTTTTGCATTTCCGTTTTTTTTTTTTTTTTTTTGGGGGGGGTGTTTATGTCTACCAAGTTTGTGAATAATCGATAGGTAAAAAAAATTAAGTACACTTGAATTTATTATGTCAGTGAGTGCACTTTGTCCGAGACACATGATATTGATCTCAAATTAAACATGGTTGTCTTTAAAAACGAAGCAAAGCTTTTACCTTTATTATTTTGATGTCGATGATTTATTATTCGATTTTAATTTGATTCAGTTTCAGTTTTATTACCTGAAATTTACTTTTTCATGAATGTTGGAAAATAAAAGTTTACTAAAAATTGCCAAGTAAACTATGAAATATCGGAAAGAAAAAGTAGTAGGAATATATTTTTTCCTTACTGAAATATTATACATTTATTGACTAGTTCGAGGGCAACATGCGTTTTGTCGGACCCAAACTGTCTGCCTGAGGCCGTTAGGTTGGAGGGTCCGACAAAACGCATTTTGCCCGAAGAATGAGATTAAGCTGCGCCCATTCTGTGACGTAAGCAGTCCAACATCTCTCCGAGTGGTCCAACATCTCACTCAGCGTTCCGACATCGATTTTTTTATGCCCGCTCGGCAAAACATTAAAAATGTTAGATCTTTTTTTATAATCCGCGAAGTGATAATTTTGATTTTTTTTTCGTATAGATTTGTATAGGAATTTTTTTTAAAGGTATAACAAGCTAAGATAATCTGTTTATTCTCCATTTTGATTTATATGAACATTTATTTCGGTCAGAATTGCATATCTTTTACAAACACAATCAATTATTTTTTATGCCGTTAACTTGTATATTTTAATAATATGATGATCATAGGGATAACCGAGCAATCACAAAAGTAATGGATATATATTGAAAAATATGTGTATCTACTACGCACCAACTCATGATAGATCCTGAGTGATTAAATTTTATTGTGTACCATATTTCTTAATCTGACTTTATTTTCTGCAAGTTTTTTAGATACACTATTCGTTTTCTAAACGTGGACAGGTTTTCGTCTGCATCGACTCTGCATGATCATAAAATTCATCGCGTTCAATATGATAATGAATGCAAAATGTATTAATTCCTTTGACAACATCTGGAAAAATAGTGGAAATACAATTTCTCAGTAACTACAGATACAATTAAATAAATGCATTTTCAAAGAAACCTTTTTAGGAGTACTTCTTGATTTGCCCCACAAATAATCGGAATACTTCGGGCACCGCTACGTCCGCTACTGACCGCTACGTCCGAGAAGTTCTTGGCCTCTCTTGTAAACTTTTGCATTGTTTTTAGAATTGTGTTAAAATTCCATTCTTAGCAAATGAAATATTGCGATTCGATTGAATTTTTTATTTTGAATTTTTTTATTTATTTCTTCTTCTTTTTTTTTTTTTTTTTTTTTTTTGAAAATTCACCTTTAGCCAATAAAAAGTTTATTTCATGGCTTCTTAAACGTGATTTTTTTTAGTAGTCCACATGTACCTGTAGGTGTAAAGATTCCGATCCACCACAGTAGATTTCGGATCGGAAAACTTTAAATTGGCCAGTAAGGATTAGATAAACCGGTACAAGTAATAGCTTTTCAAAAAAGCTTGCCTGACTAATGCAATCAATATCTATAGAACCTATAATCATGATAAGTTATTTATATAAACGTTTACATTGGTGTGAGGGGTAATTATTTCATTAGAGTAAATTATGAAGACGTCGAACAAAACATCATGCATTAATTTTAAGTTGTTTGCTACTTATGAGGCAATGGACAGCCTCGTTTTTGAAAGTGGGGGGGGCAGCTAGAGAATTTTTTTTCATTCACCTGAAAAAAAAGGAATATGCCCAAAGTTGAAAATCCTATTTGGGGGGGGGGGGGGGGGGGGGTAGGGGTCGTGACCAACTTTTTTTCAGTGTAAAGTTCTTCCTGTATAACTTTTTTAGCATTAAATACTGCATTTCTCTTTAATACATTTCCTGTTATATACAGGGGGGTGGGGTGGTCCAACCTTTCAACTAACATTTCCTATATATAGTAAAAGTAAGGTTGAGAAAAAAAGTGGGGGGACAGCCTCCTCCCCCTTTCCTGTTGCTACGTGTCTGATGGAAAAGGAACAGTGATATTTTATTTAAAAGGTATATTTTGTATGTGTTAAATTGGTTTTGATCTGTTTTTCGTTTGTTGTATAAGGACGCATGTGGAGTGTTACAAATACTTCGAACTCAGGACCAATGAGCAGTTTCATGTAATATTTTCGTGCTAAACCTACTGCGACTCGGGCTTGGTTTTAAACAGTCTCATCCTAAGGACCGATCTCCACCGTCCTGCAGTGGATTCGAACCCGTGAGGTAAAGCTCAGCTCCTCATTCCGCAACTCTATAATGGTTTTAGAAGATGTAGTAATTAAATAAGGGAAATGAACTAATGAATTAATGTATGCTGGAAAGCCGTGCCTATGTAAAGATTATATATCGATTTTAAAATTAAAATTTAGAATTAGATTCAACTGCATAGACTACCGGGAAGACAGCTGAGAATATGATAACTACAAGAAATAAATGAATCTTCAAGATTAACATGCAGAATATGTTTAAGTACTAGATTGTTTTGGTATGCCAGAGCATCAACGATTGTTGGAAACAGCCCGCTACGCATAAATGACCCAACGAACTTGACGTTGATTCCTTATACTAGTATTCCTCAATCCTGAAATAGGAGGGACACTTTTCCTAAGTCTATTTTCTGTGTTTCATAAGAGGAAGAATTTTACCTCTGATCAAAACTTGGGGGGGGGGGGGGGGGGGTGCGAGTGCAGGCGAGATATGATCAGAAATATTATGTATTTTTGGCCAGTTTTTCTCTGAAGAACATTTTTTCCGTGTCGTTTTATTTACTTTAATTGATGTAACTTCTAACTTCTTTCACAATATCACCGATATGTTTTTTTTTCCCCAAAGTTCGAAATTCCGATAAAAAGAACAGACTTGAAGTTTTCATTTCCATTCACCGCAGTGCAGTAGAATCATCCAGGAAAGGGGCGCGAAGATATACACGTGACATTTGGCGCAAAATGATTGTGACACCCCTTACCTCGAAGACAAATGGACTCATCCAATAGTACAGAAATGCAGAAAAAAGGTCAAACAGACATGTCCGTATATGAAATCGCATGAAATAAACAGTTTCATGCAAAAAAACTAAGGGAAATAAACACATCAATATGTTGTATCAGTAAGACGGTTATTTTTTTCTGCTAAATGTTTTGTTGAAACGGAGGTAACAAATTAAATTCCAATGATAATCAGCATGCACAAAATTTTGCTGGCTAACTGTGACCTTTTCTCTTCGCACCTCGGAAATATCAATCCTTATACAGCCTGACGCCGTGACGTCAGGCAATAACGCTAATTTTAGACTGATTAATTTAATGCCGAGTCCGAAGGCGGTATCTCATCCGTATATTGGTCAAAACATTAAAAAGAAGATGTGATCAGTTAAATTTTAACTTAAAAAATGAAACGTTTCCTTTCAACAATCAATACGCTTCTTTATTGTTCAGTATAAAAATAAGTGATATATTCCAACAATATTTGTTTTGCAAAAACAAATAACTCTTGATAAAAAAAAAATCAAATATGCTGAAAGCTATAACTTCTTTTTTGTCCTAAAAAAATCGGTACAATAACTTTTATAAAAATCTTCACAAGTGATAACAAGAAAACATTGATGTAACCATCAATTGTCGCCCGGGAAATATATAAAGTAAACAATGAAAATGAGTCTTGATCAACAAACCGCTTCGATATGTGTAAAAAGGCATGCGTCTAATATGACGGAAACGAAAGTCGCAAATATTTAAAAAAAAAAAAAATGGTAGTCGGAATTAAATCAATCAAAAACGATACCATTTTAAACTTGATTAATTCCTCAAGTAAATGTTGGCTGCATAAAATATAAATTGATGTTAGACACACCCTTCATTTATATTTAAAAATGTATTAATTTTCAATTTTAGAATATAAAACACGAACTTTGCAGAGTACGTTTTTATCCGAGAAGTAAAATTCGATGTTCTAAAAAAGGGACCTGTCGTTGTTTCGATAGTAAATGTTAAGTAACTTTATATATTAAATATGATAAAAACATTCATATTTTTACAGATTCACCTTATGAAAGTAAATATATTATGTATCTCGTAATTTATAAACGGAAAGAATATTCTGATTAACAATCTTTTCAATGTTTAGAAAACCTTTAATTCTACATAACTACTCCCACCCCAATCCCCATACACCAACACTTAAACTTATATGTATAGAGCAGCCCGGTCCTCCGGGCTGCAATCATTCTCTTCAAGACCTCATTTCGATTTTTATTTATAATTGAAGATTCTGGAAGTTTAGATAAAATCGTTATATGCATGGACTGAAAAAATAGGGGGGGGGGGGTCGTTGTTTAACACGAGTATAAAATGACACCCTGTCTGAAAAATCAAATATTTTTTTCATTGAAGTTTTAGGTTTACAAATATTCAAAATAAGTAAGTTGTAAGATAAGATAATAAATTAAGTCTGTACCATTCCACATGAAAGAGTTATTTAAACAAAATAAACAGGATAAAATCACCATCTTAATTCTTGAATTCAACATTAAAGATGGTTGCATGGATATCATGGCGACATGTATCTATATAGAACAACCATTGCCACATACACCATGTGAATATTCATCTTCAAAAACACGTCGTTTCAGCACGTAATCGCAAGTGCGTTGTGGGGAAAAGGATAACGTCATCAAAAAGTAACAAATGTAATGCTACTATTACGTCACAGACGGCGTGATAGGCATGACTTGTCTAGATAAGATGTTCCACGGTCTTCTTTCTTCTTTCCAGTTCCTGAGGGAAAAAGCGCATAGTTAATCATACAGACTATTTAAAAAAATATCTGTACAAGTCTCAATGATAAGGAACTATGTGACCTTATTTTTGTAGAAATACCCATTGACACAAAACATAAATTTCAAAGAATATTTAATTCCTCTACAACCCTGCTATACATGATGAAAGAAGACTGTTAATTAACAAATATCTTTGAAATGTAGGCAAATTAATTTAAAAATAAATCCCAAAATATCACTTTTTCATATAGGATTTTAGTAAATTAGACTTACTGAACGCTTTCTTTTGCTTTGTTTTGACTGCTGTCTGTGAAGATCAGTCTTTCCATTCTCCCGTCTCCATTTCTTATGTTTGTCATTAGTAATGACATTGGTGAATGCCTCTAAAATATATAAAAACTCAAATATAACAAACTAAACACAAAAAAAGAAACAAAAAAACACCACAATGATCAATCTTAGGGGACTCTCTATGTTGTCACAACATGCCATACTCCCAGTTGAAGCCCTGTTTTGTTCTGAAATGCTTTTTTGATATGTTTCTGTCTTAGACAAATTCACTTAAAACTGATAAATCACCGGGTATAGCTCAACATGCAATATTGAAATTGGATGCATCTCCTCTAGGCGACAAGAGTGGCCAATGTACGATTGTACCCCTTCTTAAAACATGAATTGTTTGTCATATTTTCAATTTGACAATTTTGACTTTTTTTACAAACTTATCAAAATAAATATAAGTTAGTAGGATACTGTATGTGCCTCATTTCCCAGGAAAATGTTCAAAAAGACATTGGACTATTTGTGAGCAGAAATCTCACATCTAAGGGCTAAGCTCTTTAGTGCGCAGTGTTTAGAGCTTCCTTAAAGTCAACGAAATACTGACCAGCTACATGTAGAATCAGTAAATATGTATTTAATTTTCCTATTTTCATTGATATCGAAGTTCTTTCCTGTTCAATTCAGGTTTGAGTTAAACAAAGTTTGACTGTATGTATTAGTTTACTGATGTATGTCAATCACGACAATACACACATATCATTGAGGGGGCATATTCAGCCCTAGCTTTTACATAAAACTTGTAGCTAATACAGTAAACCAAAATTAAGTATTTCAATTAATTTTTTTTTTATAAATTTGGTATCTTTTTTTTTTCTTTTCTTTTCATGCAATTTTCATACATTCCAATTCATGATTGAATTAACTACCACTTACCAAATGATCACATCCTGATTCATCATACATTCATATGATTTAATCTCACTCATGACTGGTTTTCTTTTAAAGTCAGTTTTCTTCTCTCTGAAAGGATATAGTATGTTCATGTACTATCGCATTCTAATTTAAACTAAGTATGTAATTTAGCATCAGGCGTCAGCACCTACATATGTACCAGGATGGGAGAAAAACCTGAGTAATAAACAAAATTTCAAGCATCGACTTGTTTGTACCATTCTACTTTTCTAATGTTGGGACCACAAACAATATTCGTTAATACCTAACCTACTGTATTATTTGTAATTAGGCATTTTCAACTTTTCACGGGTCACCGAATAAACTGTTGTCTGTTCAAAGCATCATCGTGATATTCAAGATTTTTTATGATCACGACATCACTATTAGTATTTACCTACTTTATAATTAATTAAATAATCAGGGTTCGAAATTAACTCATGTCCGTAAGTCTGAGACTAGTAAAAATTGTGTCGGACTAGCAGATTTTTTAAGGTACTAGTCCTTACGGACTAGTGCAAATCCAGATATACCGGTAAGTCTTGAATTGGTTCACATTTTATTAATTTCATTTCCGAGTCTCGTAGATGTTTGAAAATAAATGATAAACACAACCACAATAAAGCGTTTTCTACATTGTGATCAATAGGCAAAGACGTGACCATGTGGAGATTTCTGAAAGTTGAAAACCCTCTTTCTTTCACCACATGCTTCCAACTGATGTGTGGACACATATTTCATTGAATTAATTGATAAAATTTTAAGATTTGTATTATTCTTTTTACATACTATAGGGCGGACTAGTGGAATAGGTTGCGGACTAGTGGAAGCTAGAAGTCACTAGTCCATGCGGACTAGTGCTAAAAAAAGTTAATTTGGAACCCTGTAAATTGAAATAAAACACACAAACAATCAATCAATCAATTTATTAAGTATTACTCTGAATTATTAAATATTAATTTAATCTTTATGTTATGTGTTCAGCTAATTCATAGACAAGTATGTGAATAAACAGTTCTTAAAACTCTTTATTGATTGTCTGCGTGTTTTTTTTCCAATTTAATTTATTATATAGTAAGTTAGGTAATAAAACACTTATTCAATGACTATTCAGTAAAACAGGGGGAAAAAATGAACATGACCTCTCACACATGGTTCCTATTCTTCACTGCGGGTCAGTATCACTTGACATAGGTCCTTATAACTTCATGTTGGCCTACACAGGTCAATAATTGTGAAATAACTGATAATTCAAGCTGATGATTCATTTGCATTACTTGATATACTATCAATATTAATTCACTATGTAGGCTTTTCTTTTTTTAACATCTTCATCTCAGCCACTGTCAGCAGGTCAGACATTAGAAAATTTTTCTTTTGAACAGTAAAGTATTTCAATATACTAACTTTTTCTCTTCAGATAAGTGGAGGGGCTTTCGCCTACATCCACTTTTTAAATGTATGTTTTCCTACATATCATTCTCATGCATATGATTAAGGGTTATGCTAAGCTACAATCTATTTCAACTGTTCTGATAATGTTATCCTTCATGAATAATCGGATAGTTGCGATTGAAGACACTTTTCGAAAAATATTGATGTTTTTTTCATAATTTTGAAAAAAAAATAGCTCATCTATACCTTGTCATAAGTCATAAGTTCCAAAACATCAAAAGAGTTCGCTATCCGAGATCGAGAACACATGAATTCAAACCGGATATACTGCATTCTGTATTTAACTACGAAACCGTGCTCGGTATAAATATTATCATCCGAATAAATAGAAGTGGTAAAAATTAAAAAATAAATAAAAAAAATCCGCTTTAAAAGAACTCATTTGTACACACACACAGAGAACTATTTATATTGAGCATTCATTTTATTAAAAGGCGAAACGTACTGTAGCCATTTTACAACATACAGTATGGAACACATACATGTACGGTGCTTTGAGGCCTACGTTGTCTGTTTATTGCATGGAAGTAAATTAAGTATGTCATATCACTCAAATTTCCCTTTCATGTCTTGCAATATATGTACTAAAGTCTAAGAATTTTAGATATTCCAACTTTTCAAAATGGCGTCAGAACAAAAGTTGTCTCCGATAGTGAAGATTTGTTGTTGCCAAATATTACAATTATTTACCGTAATAAATTAACAAAAATATACGTACACTAATCCTTGGTTGTTGTTCCCTGCATTTATCACAGTCTCAAAGACACTGGGTGGTGAAAACATCATTAACTTTTCACATTTACCAGCTGCTTACACCTTCTTCTTCGTCCCTCTCATTCCTCTCTCAATCCTCGAAAAATGGCGCCTCGGTAAATTGACCAATGAAAATAAAGCGCCTGCAGAGCGATGCAGGATGGGGGAAAAATTCATTATGATTAAGTATGATTATGACATCTTACATTAGAATTTAATGAAGTTTTTCCTGTTCATGGAATAAAAAGGGGGCTCCTAAATATTTTTGTCGATACGATGTGTCGGCCTAGTATAGAAAGAAAACGTTTAAAAAAAAAAAAAAAAAAAAAAAAATGCATGTGCCACCTAGAGAAAAAAATTCTTTCTGGAATAACAACTAAAATTATTTGATTTTGGGGTGGGGGTTTCGAGGCTTGGTTGTAAGTATAGTGGCCGTCCTAGCTGAAAGTAATATCCCCCCCCCCCCACTCCTCGCTTCTTTTAACGGTTGTAATTATGAATTTTATAATGTCACATCAAAACGATGTATATTTTTTAAATTGTGCTAAAAGGCATCAAAATGAGCTACAATTGTGATAATTGAAAAGTTCGGTGTTTAACATGTTTAAAAATTAATTGCTAATCAAAAACGCTTTTAGTAGAAAGGATCACCCTGAGGTATGATAGAATACGATACACTTGTGAAAATTAAGACAAAATAATACAGGTCATCACAAGGTGGAACAAAACTAATATCTAATCAAAGGCAGGAAAAATTAACAGTATATATATTAATTCAGTATTTTAGTCGTGACTGGTATAATTGGGTCATTGGAAAGATTTTGTCAACATTCATATACTGTCGATAGATACTTGTTAATTTGAAGGGCTGTGAGTTTATGCACACAACTTTAGCTGGTCCCGCCCTGTATCTCTTCTCATGTACTTTTTTTCGTTCAGGAAATTTGGTAAAGCATGCAAGTAAAAAAAGGATTCCCGGTTAGTTTATTACCCAAACTGAAATTACTTACCTACAGGCCTAGTCTAGTCAAATTTAAAAACACGCATATTTTTTTTTTTCTTTTTTTTTTTTTTTTTATATATATAAAAGAGTAATTTACAGCATGTAGAAAAAAAAATAAAGTAGTGGACAACGTAGATAAAGAAATGTTTGTAGTTGTATTAAAAACCTTCTCATCTTTATATAAAGACATCAACAGAAAATGCACAATAATACAATAAACACACTCAATTCTTTCAATAGATTGCCTTAGCATGCACTACACACCAAAAAGCCGTTGTTCTTAAGAAAAAACAAAATAATGTAAAATTTTATAGATTTTTCTTTAGTTACATGTACATGTAGAGCAATGGCCTTTGGAGGGGGAAAATGGTTTTGTTAATATTATACATGTGCATTTAGGACCTTTGTTTCATGCGAAAAGTGCAGATGTTTACTACACAGGGATCTGCGAACATATTTAAATTCAAAAGAAATTAAGAAAAAAAAAACGTTTTTATATGAATATTTTTCTGATATTTTAATCATTATTTTATAGATGTCTTTGTAGTTGGATTACAAATTTAACACAAAACATCAACAAGACTATTAAGTACCGTTTTAATCTCATTGATCTACATTAAGTGATTATGATTTAATATAATTATACACGACGAGTATTTATATTTATTCTATAGCTATGGAAAATTATTTAATTTTTAAACGGGATAATTTTATTTTAAATCAATTATGAACATTGAAATCGAAATTCTAAATAGCTTGTTCTTTCATTGAACTTCTAAAATTAATGAAGGTTATTTTTTGAATAAACTATTTTCTCTTGTATAACTGATTATTTACAATAATTTTTAATGATAAAAAATAACACAAATCATCATCTTAATTTGCGGAGACTGTGTGTATACATGCTTGACAACAGCCCATTGTTCCCTGTAAGTAAAAAACCCTCTCAAATCACATAGAATATACAAACAATACACAGTGACAGGTGTCTCCTGTCTCCAGGTGTCTTCGCGGCACGTGTCTCCACCTGATATGGCACGTGAGGAAAGTTGCTCGTAGTTACACAGGCCGTACCAACGTTTTCAAATATGCTTTTTTTTAGGGGGGGGGGGGGCTTCCCAAGAAAAAAAAGACAAGCAAATAATAAAAATGATTGTTAAAAAAAATAAATAAATAAATAAATATAATATCTTAAACAATGTCTTTTAATCAGTAATCACAACTTCTCTCTGTACTGCACTTATTCTTCTCTATTCCATTTCACGCATTCTATACGAGTTTACCAAGACTCATGTGATAAATCCAATTTAAAATTAATTTGCGTTCAAGGTCATGAAATATTAAATTTTATCACACTGAAATACACTTTAAGTTATTTTAACTGTTTGAAGGGGGAGACCGAGTTAATTCATTTGATACAGTATGTGTACACGTTTGAAAAAAAAATCTATAATCGGGAAAAAATATGGTAACCTCAGAAAATATTTAACTTTTTTGTAAAATAAAAGTACATGTAGTTGGAAATTAGAATGAGATATAATTTCAAAGTTTCCCTACCCGGGAAACATGGGAGAAACTACAGATTGATGGCTTCCATGTCGGGAATCTATAAGGAAACCACTGAGGCATGTTTCCATGGTTTCCTATCTTGGGAAACTTACGGGAAACCACAGGTTGATTGTTTCCATGTCGGGAATCTACATGGAAACCACGGAGGCATGTTTCCACGGTTTCCTATCTTGGGAAACTTACGGGAAACCACAGGTTGATTGTTTCCATGTCGGGAATCTACGTGGAAACCACTGTGTGGTTTCCATAAAATGGAAACTATATGGAAACTACTGATGTCACGATTCCCATATGTTTCCATCGGGTATCCAAATTTGGGAAACCTGGTTTTTCATCCAGTGAAATTCCAGTGATAATCAGCATGCACAAAATTTTGCTGGCTAACTGTGACCTTTTCTCTTCGCACCTCGGAAATATCAATCCTTATACAGCCTGACGCCGTGACGTCAGGCAATAACGCTAATTTTAGACTGATTAATTTAATGCCGAGTCCGAAGGCGGTATCTCATCCGTATATTGGTCAAAACATTAAAAAGAAGATGTGATCAGTTAAATTTTAACTTAAAAAATGAAACGTTTCCTTTCAACAATCAATACGCTTCTTTATTGTTCAGTATAAAAATAAGTGATATATTCCAACAATATTTGTTTTGCAAAAACAAATAACTCTTGATAAAAAAAAAAATCAAATATGCTGAAAGCTATAACTTCTTTTTTGTCCTAAAAAAATCGGTACAATAACTTTTATAAAAATCTTCACAAGTGATAACAAGAAAACATTGATGTAACCATCAATTGTCGCCCGGGAAATATATAAAGTAAACAATGAAAATGAGTCTTGATCAACAAACCGCTTCGATATGTGTAAAAAGGCATGCGTCTAATATGACGGAAACGAAAGTCGCAAATATTTAAAAAAAAAAAAAAAATGGTAGTCGGAATTAAATCAATCAAAAACGATACCATTTTAAACTTGATTAATTCCTCAAGTAAATGTTGGCTGCATAAAATATAAATTGATGTTAGACACACCCTTCATTTATATTTAAAAATGTATTAATTTTCAATTTTAGAATATAAAACACGAACTTTGCAGAGTACGTTTTTATCCGAGAAGTAAAATTCGATGTTCTAAAAAAAGGGACCTGTCGTTGTTTCGATAGTAAATGATAAGTAACTTTATATATTAAATATGATAAAAACATTCATATTTTTACAGATTCACCTTATGAAAGTAAATATATTATGTATCTCTTAATTTATAAAGGAAAGAATATTCTGATTAACAATCTTTTCAATGTTTAGAAAACCTTTAATTCTACATAACTACTCCCACCCCAATCCCCATACACCAACACTTAAACTTATATGTATAGAGCAGCCCGGTCCTCCGGGCTGCAATCATTCTCTTCAAGACCTCATTTCGATTTTTATTTATAATTGAAGATTCTGGAAGTTTAGATAAAATCGTTATATGCATGGACTGAAAAAATAGGGGGGGGGGGGGGGGTCGTTGTTTAACACGAGTATAAAATGACACCCTGTCTGAAAAATCAAATATTTTTTTCATTGAAGTTTTAGGTTTACAAATATTCAAAATAAGTAAGTTGTAAGATAAGATAATAAATTAAGTCTGTACCATTCCACATGAAAGAGTTATTTAAACAAAATAAACAGGATAAAATCACCATCTTAATTCTTGAATTCAACATTAAAGATGGTTGCATGGATATCATGGCGACATGTATCTATATAGAACAACCATTGCCACATACACCATGTGAATATTCATCTTCAAAAACACGTCGTTTCAGCACGTAATCGCAAGTGCGTTGTGGGGAAAAGGATAACGTCATCAAAAAGTAACAAATGTAATGCTACTATTACGTCACAGATGGCGTGATAGGCAAAGAGTTAAAGGTTCAAAAATTAAATATA